AAATTTCCATCATAATTTTATTTTTTTTTTTTTTTTTTTTTTTTTTTTTTTTTTTTTGTGGGGGGGGGGGGGGGTCATATTTTTATGAGTAGTTTCACTTCTCTATGCTTTTTACTTTTACTTGAGGAATATTATTATGAACAATTGTTGTTCTTACTTGATTAAATCTTCTTCAAAAAACTTCAGTGAAGAAAGTACAATTACAACCAAAAATTACATTACAACCACGGAGTTCTTGGTTTTAAACCAGCTTTATTGTTGTAATGTTATTTTTTTTTTTATCTGCCGAGCCTGATAAAAAAAATGACTCGCTGGGCAGCGAGTCAATTGGAGATAAATGAGATACAGTAAATTTATATTGACATTTGAAGTACTCTATTCAAACATAAATACATTACCTACTGTAAAGATTAAAGTTATGTGAAGTTTAATATTGATAAAAATGACTTGAGAAAGTGTTTCTTCAGCTCGAATGTGTTATTTTCATTTTTTATAGTATTGTTTTTATTTTAGCCTTTACCAAACTTTGCATGTAACTTTATAACAGATTGAAATTAAACGATTCAATTATTCAATTCAATTATTATTATTATAGTATTTCGTTATATAATATATAACAATCATATATATTTATGTATATATTTATATATTATTATTTAATATTTCTTTATTTGTATAATTTATTATTTATTTAATTATTTGTTATGGTTTTTCAGTAGTTGTAGGCGTTCTTTTCTTGTTTTCTTTCTAAAGAGCGGCAGCACCGGCGCAAATTCACCCTTTTGGACAATGTAGTCCAGCTATGATACATTCTTATACAGTTCCAATGCCATGTGCCTACACTTCCCAGCGTTCCTCGGGGATGCTGCGCTCCGTTGTTTTCCCAGCTCAGACGCGGCTAGTTCAAGTTGCCATAGCAGAATGAAGTAAGGAGACTCTTCTGTTACTTATCAGTGCTGAAAGAAACTCGACCGGCGCCGTCTTTACAGTACATTTCTAGCGTTATTAATTTACCTCATTAGTTTTTATCTAGTCGTTTTGACGTTTTATCCGAGGGTTTAATTTGTAGGCGAACGTTTGGTTAGCTAGGTGGCTAACGTTCCCTGTAGTTTCCACTTGTTGCTAACCCGTCGGAGCATCCTTCACAACAATGAGCTGGACTGCGGTTTACGGGCTCAAGCGCAGTTTCAGCCGTCGTCACTTAGTCCGATAGCGCTGTGTCTTAGCTTAGAAGTAAAATGACAAAGCGTCAGTGTAGTTTTCCGACGTCATGTTTATGTTCAGTAAAAAAAAAAAGTTCTCAACTATCCCACCCTGCTGATTAACGTTAGAGCGAACAGTTAGCGTTTCTAGTTGTGGCCGCTGCTCGTCGCTTTGCGCTGTCCGCCTGGAC